GCATTTAATCAAAGACACGTATAACAACTATGAATACAATAAAAAAACATGTCGATTTTCAGGATGTTTAGTTTCACTCCTCGGCACATTTTAACGACCGGAAAATGCAAATTAAATATGATAAACAGGTAATGTGTAACTTTAATTTCTATTCTAATAATGTCTTTTCTTGCCCTTCTCGACTGTCGAACTTTACGGTTACTTGCTTCCCTACTGCTTAAGATTTTCAAAGATTTATATGCAACGTCATTCTCCGTCTTCTGTCTTCCTGAAATCGGTTTATTTATTGTCCTTTCAAAAAACTAACGTCTTCTCGTTCTCTTTCACTTTTACATTAAAACATTGCGTCTTAGTGGCATTGTCGCCTTGATTGGAGTGAAATGATTTCTAGACAAATTCTAAGAACATTAATATTTCCTATGTCGAGAGGAATAATGAATTTAGCGGAGAAAAGTGAGAGATATATTTGTTCATCACCTTTTTTTATATTGCGTTAATTTTTAACATCTTAATCGCCATAAAGCTAACAAGAAGGAAAATGTGCTTTAAAACACGGAAGTATTTTTGCTTCTTCTCATATTTTAGCAAAACAAATTTTAAATATACGCTCCACTCATTTTCAGAGTAAAAAAAAAAACAAAAAAACAACTATACAGGGTCTCTATAAAGTTCGTGTGCACTTTAAAATATGTATAACTTTATTTGTATTTGCGATAGAAATAATTTGTAAAAAGTATTAGAAAGAAGATAATCTATATTTTTTAAGGTTTTATTGAAATTTTATTTAAGTTTCCACATGTCCTCCATCATTAACAATACAAACGGCAATACTATTTACAGTAATGTCTGAAATCACATTAGTTATTTTAGCTGTACTTAAAACTAGGTACATTAAACTTTATAACATTTTTTACAGATTACTTCTATCGCAAATATAAATAAAGTTATAAATTTCTTAAAGTTCACACGAACTTTATGGACACCCTGTATTTTAGATAAGCCGTATAAACTTTCTTCTTCTTATATTATACATCCAGGGCGTTGTCGATCATGACTCACCACAGATTCCTATTCTTTGTAGCTCTTAATAACACAATCACTCACAATCCATCTTTTGGCATTCATTTCCGCAAGCTTTTGAGGTAGGTTACTCTCTGTCTCACCCCTGTCTCTCTTGTCAACAGTATTTCATGAGAGAGTCAAATTCATCATGCCTTCTTTCCTCATTATGTGTAGAGATATTTCAACTATCCCTTTTTTATTCTAATCATAAGCGTCCATTTTGTATCCATTTTCTATAAATCTTCCTCGCTACTTCCATTCCCAGTCCATGGAAATCTTAGAACTAAATTTCTGTTGCAAGCCTCTTCTTCATCTGTTCGTTGTCATATAGGAGAAATGATATTACATAGCAGTTCAGAACTCTTTTATTTGTTTCTGAAGAAATTTTCATGTTTCTTATACTGAAACTAAAATTTGGTAAAACGTGTTTGTCTGAGAATGTTATTTCTAGGGTAGGAAAATATTCGTCAGATATATTATCAGGAAATTTTTCAAAGAATTCAGTATTCAGCATGATTAGTTTTTGTTTTTGTTTCGTTTTGTTTTTTATTAAGAAAGCCTCAAGAAAGAAGTGATTGTTTACTTCTTGCCAAAGGAAGCCATTCTGGGCAATTTTCTCGAGTCTCTTGAACTGGGGGGGGGGTCCAATTCTTTTGCTCTTTCTTGATTCTGCTGGACAATTCTGTTAACAGCAGTCTTCCCTAATTTCTTGCTTCCAATTCTTTTTATAGGATCCTGATGTTACGATTGTCATACAAATTACAAATACCAAATTAGAAATACCAAAATCAATCAAATACAAAAAAAATTAAATATCTGATAAGCTAAGTATCAAAAAACAGAAATGTTTCGTTGAAAACAAAGAAAAGTATTTTATTGTTACTTAATATCAGTTCTCCTATATGGCAGCGGATGCTGGTCAATCTCTTCACAAATGGAGAAGAGACTTAAAGCAAAATGTTGTTCTACAGAAGCATGCTGAGAATACCATGGACTAAACATATGAGCCACGACATGGTTTTACAGAAAACGGAAACAAAAAGGATACTTATACATAATGTCAGAAAGAGATAATTGAAATTTCTAGGTCACATAATGAGAAAAAAGGACTTGGAAAATTAGATACTCACAGGACAAGTTGAAAGCAAATGGAACAGAGAAAAACCTAACCTGCCTAAGCTTGAGTAAATGGAGTGGATCATGCTTTAAGAGTAATAAAAAAATAATAAACTTTATCAAGATATACAAACAACGGGAAATTGTGGAGAGCCATGATCGCCAACGCCCTGAAGATGACCGCTACATAGAAGAAGAGCTACGACCTTTCTCATAAAATACAAATTTTTCCCGTTTGTATGAGAGACATTTACTATTTTTAATGGAAGATATCAAGCCTAAAATAAATTGAGTAGATCTTGCAATATTAGGTTGAATCGCAAATAATTTCTTTATGATTTTTATTATTCAATTATGTATCCACCAATATTCGACTTGATATATTTGTTCAACGGCATATCAACACCTTATGGGTCATTTAATGCCGAAATTTAATTTTCTTGGGAGTAAAGTAATAAAAATATGATATATGTTATTCTACTTTCGCAGTTGAATACATGGTAGATAATACTCATATTTTGTGCATAATTACTAGATGCGGTGATGTGTGTGTTTTATGTTGTAGTTTTGTTGAAGTTATATTTTGGATTACAGTTTGATTTCCTTATGAAAATGTATGACGTAATTGATTAATATCATGAAAGAGTTCTTTCATACTGGTTGCTTGATTTTGTTTGGCAGCATACCAACATCTCTATATTTATGTTATCCAATGTCGAAATCTAAATATTTTGAACAATTTTATAGCTTCAACTAAATATATTTTGAACGCAGTTGTATGCCTTTAATTACAGATAAAATTTATTGCTGGTAATCCTACTATAAAATGTATTGCTGGTTATTTTGATTTAAAATTGTATTGTTAGTTATTTTCTCTTTTCTTTTTTTAAGCGTTTCACCCCAAGGAAGGCGAGAAGCCACTAGGATGCAAGGGGTTACAGAAAATTTGGAGCAAGATCAGATAGGAGTGATAGAGGAAAGGGTGAGGAGAAGAATAGTGGATAGATCAAGACAACTAGAGATGTCGATTGACATTACATTTAGATAGTTGGAGATTATAGCTCTCAGGGAAACAGGAATAGGGAAGGGAGTTCCACAGGCGAGAGGTGCGAGACATGAAGCTATTGGAGTAGAAGAGACGGCTACATTTAATAGTTTCAACAGTGAAAGGGTGAGATCGGGATGACAGCCTCGTAGGGCGGTTGAATTCATGAAGTCTGGGAACCAGCGAATGCAGCTCCTCGGAGCACTTACAATGAAAGTATCTGCAAAAAAGACAGAGAGAGGCGACGGCGCGTCTGTGAGAGAGCGACTGTAGACGAGATGCCAGAACAGTGCCAATTATATTGCATATCCACCTCTGGAGCTTATCAAGAACCCCGAAGCAAATAGAGGGGGCTCCACACTATATATAGCAGCAATACTCCATATAAGGGCGAATTGTTGATTTGTAGATCTGGAGAATCGATTCCGGGGAGAAAAATTTCCTGGCGCGGCACAGGGAGCCAACTTTCCTTGCGGTGGACGAAGCAATTGACTCAATGTATTTGTTCCATCTCAGGTCAGCCGTCAACGTGAGACCGAGCAGCCGCAGAGAGTTGCTCTCGAGAAGTTGAGCGTCAGACATTCTAATAGAGGGCAGGGAAGGATCTCTGTGGTGATTAATAGAGAGCAGTTTTGTTTTTGAGGTATTATTTTACTATATGTTTTGTTGGTATTTTTTATATAATTTTTTTGTAATACCCGTTTGCAGGAAAGACTTTGTAAATAACAGATACAACAATAGTAACGTCTTCGAACAATATCCGGTCAGACGCCGCTAACTCCCATATATATATTTTTCCTTTACCCAACTCGTGATATAATCATTTCAACATGAGGACGACTGTGCTTGTTCTCTGGCAATCCGTGTTCAAACCCAAGTCTCAACAGCGACACTTTATTCCTATATGACAAAAATATTTTTTTTTTTTACTTTCATAGTGTTTTGATTTTGTTTGGGTGTTCACTGTTTGCCTATAGCTGGAACCCTAACAGGTGCTACCACCCTGGGTCAGGGTGAACTCGGGAACAATAGCAAGAGGTGGTTCTACTCTCAAAAAAAAAAACCCAATCTCCCGATCAGAGACCTTGCTGCCGGATGTAGTTTATCATCATACCCAGGATTAAATTTACTGATGTGTTTTCGATTGTTCTATGCTGCTCGCCAACGTTCACCTTTTGAGAAATTGTTGGCCAAAAGAGTCCCCTCAAGGTAAAAAAAAAATAATAATGACGAACGTGTGTGTGTGTGTGTGTGTGTGTGTGTGTGTGTGTGTGTGTGTGTGTGTGTGTGTGTGTGTGTGTGTGTGTGATGGTATGTAGACAAATAGAAAAGAACACGTTAGGTAAATAATCCGGACTTTCTAAATTTTCGCTTGAGGATGAAACAGGGATTGCTACTTTAATTCAATTTAATTTTAATTATTATATTGAGGGTTTCAGCTCTCGTTTTGTGAAACATGAGAACACTTATGTAGCGAAGGAATCATATTTTTTAAAATAATTATAATATATATATATATATATATATATATATATATATATATATATATATATATATATACATTTTTCCTTGTATATATATATAACAATTTTTCATTTATATATATATATATATATATATAACAACATTTTTCTTATACAAGATGCGATTAATAAATTGTCGTCTAAATTACGCACAAAATGAATAATACTGACATCTCATTTTAACAGATATATTATGAAAAATCATGAAAAAAATATTTTGAAATACTAAAGAGTAAATTTATTCAATAAAATCA